CTAGACTCTTTTCTTGCACCTCCAAAAAAATTTGTTCTATTTATTTTATTCAAAAGAATTTATAATTAATCAATTATCAATAATTCCTTCCTCTACCTTTTCAATTTATTTAAATAATGATGATGATAATTAATAATTACTTACTTGATCATAAGGCTGCTGCAACAACATCATATGAAATCAATCAATGAGTAGTACTTTCATGTAAAAGTGTAATACCAAAAGTTTTTAAAATAGAAATTAAAGAATCAAAATGAACTTTGAGTTGGATTCGGCCAGAAACATTGTTGTTATAATCGTAGCTTTCAAATATTTTAGAATTCCAAAGCACTGTTGCTAATTTTTTTTTAAGAAGTTATGTTGATTGATTAATATGATTATAGCATGATAATGATCTTTAATAATTGAATAGAACCTTGAGTATTATAAATGCTTGATACACTAAAAGTAATGCCGTCTTCTGCTACATCAATAATAACAAATTCCTGTAAAATTTCTTTAATCAATAAATTAAAGTTTATTTGTAATGCCTCTAGAGAGCACGTTAAATATGTGCAATGAACTATTTTTGATGAAAAATTTTAAATCGTCCTAAATACATAAATATTATTTAGAAAGTTTTTAAATTAAATTAGAGTGACGACAAGTGGCGACCACCACCACCACTCTTATGATAAACACTTACTCACGATCCTCAGCAATGGCTTTTGATTGTTTTCTTTACTGTTTCCTGGACATTTTTACAAGAAAAAAAGAAGTTTGTGATTTGATCGAGGTGTCCACATTAATTATTTGGGCATGGACAATAGAAACAGCACAAACGTCAAAATCACGATTTTGAGATAATCGAAAAAAAAGATCTGCATTTCAAGTAATTACCTATTGTTTTAAGAACTTTAACAGAAAATATCTCAAAATTTTATTAAGCAAAGTGGATATGGTTTCTAAGCTAAAATTAGTCTCTGTAATAAATTGCATTTAGACTCAAAATCATGATTTTTGATGTTTGGGTCGTTTCTATTGTCCATGCCCCATTTAACCTATTGGTTTATTTTGACAAAACGTGAGTGTTGTTGTATGGTTTGGTTTGGGTCTCCTAAAGAAAACGTGTTAATAACAACCAGAGGTACTTTTTTTATTTGTATTGATATTTTTATTAATTCTACCTATTCTCCATTTTCAATTAATTTGTTAAAGAGATCCAGTTGAATTATTATTAGATTGTGATCTGTTTCTTCTTGATTTGTGTCCATGCTAGAGGTACTGTCTTCAATTGTTTCGTTATCTGACATTAAATCATCAGTAATTTCTGATGATATTGTATCATCTATATTAGTATTTTCAGAATTTTTTGTTTGTATCTGTTTGATTATCTTGATTATCTTGATAGATCTTGGATGTTGATTGATCATTAGAGTTTTGGAATTGTTGGATAATTGGTTTTTTGGGTTAGGGTTGGGTGTACCCCAGAATGGGTCTTCTCCCGTCCTCCCTTCATGGATTGTGAGATTCATTCTTGTTTCATCTTCGCTTGAGTTTATTTTTTCTTCGTGAGTTTCCTTTTCATTGAAATGTTTGAGTCTTTATTTTTTGATTTATTATTGTTAATGGACTTTTGTAACATGTTGTTGTAGTTTGTGTTTTTTCCTTTCTTCCTTTTTTTAATGTTAATTGTTTGGTTTGGTTGTGTAGTAATTTCGATTTCAGTGGCCTTTGGGCCAGATCCTTCCTTATTTTTTTCTTTAATTTTCCTTACTGCGCCACTGGTAAATTTTTATTTTGAAAGAAAAAATTTATTCTTATTATAAGTTTGAGAAAATAAAACATACACATTCACGTTTAGACATTTCTATGAATGTAATGTGATAACCATCTGAGGGCTCTGATTTATCATATTGTCACCGGAATTAGATTTGGACGCTCTTTTGGCCGAATTTAACTAATTCCGAAATTCTTAATTTTTATTATTATTTTATTTTATTTATTTCTATTTTTATAATCTTATTTTATTAATTTAGTCGTATTACATCTATTTTCGTAATATTAATATGTTTTATTTTTATTTCTATTAACATTAATAATTATTTGTATAACGTCGTAATTTATTTAACTTATTAACATTAAGGAAGAATCGTCTTTCCAATATTTCAATTTTGAAATATTAGAATTACTAATTAATTGAATTGTATATAAGGAGCTCGAATTCAATGTACTTGTAAAGTAACTTTCTAACAAGTTAATTAGTTTCGACTAAGAAAAACTAAATAAATAAAATAATAAATATTTTATTTTATTTAAAACTTTTATCTTCTTTAAACAAAACTATTTGCTAATCCAAAATCAATTCATTGATAGCCTATTCATTCTGATCCACACAAAACAAAAATAATTGTTATCACCAATTAAAAATACACTCTCCCAAAATTTAATCAGTGACAATATGAAGCATTTACAACAAACATTTTAAACTTGCCTTCATTGATAATAAATGGAAAAAATGTAATATATGCAGATATTTTTTTTTAATTGTAATTCGTTACCCATTCCAAAGAAATCAGATCCATTCAATTTTCTATATACCAAGCTGTGAGTATGTTCCAGATATTTTTTATAAGGATTATTAACTACTGTTGACATTTCATTGCCAGTTTCATTAATTTCACCCCAATAACAACTATACTCGGATTTATTATTTTTCCCTTGATTAACTAGTGTACAAAAACTCAGGTCTTTGGAATGATGAAGCATTTCTAAATGCAATCTAAGAGGATAAAATTTCTTTATATTTGTATTGGGTCTAATTAGCTTTCCCACCAGAATTTTGCAAATGGACCATAATGCAGAGTGCTCACAATAGATCCAGATTCAATAAAACTTGAATTAAATTAATTGACATTTTAAAATGATAATAGAATTTTTTAAATGTAAAATATTTTTTTGTCAATCTTTTAATATAAAATTTCCCCATTTTTATAATAAATTGAACAACATTTCTCTCATTCATAGACGGATCATCAATTAAATATTTGTCATGGATATAATAATTACTTTGAATAATATTATTAATTATATAACTATATACTATTAGATAATAATGAAAATGAAGATGATATTGATGAAATTTATAATGTTAAAAATGAAAGTATCATTGATGATGATGATTATGAAACTTATAATGATGTTGAAGATGACACCATTGATGATAATAATAATGATGTAAACATAATTGATATTGAAGATGAAGATAATACAAGTAACATATTTATTTATTTATTTATTGCAAACAATATTATTATTTAAGTTAGATAATAACATTAAAAAACCCCCCTCCTAATCATAGTGATATTAACAATAATAAGAATAATAGTAATCAAGGTATTATATCATTTTCATTTATTGATGTATTTATTATTATAATGTCTGATCAATATCAAATTATATTTTAAAATAATTTTTTAAGGCAATATCCAGCTTATATTTACCATTTTTAAAAAAATTATTATATTATTTATTTATTTATTATTAAATTTATTAGCAAGTAAAACAAATAAAAATAAAAATAATGATGAAGATGTCATTGGGAATGGGGATGTAAGATGTAGCAATAATAGAAGTAATATATTTATTATATATTTATTTATTTATAGTGCAAACAATATTATTACTTTAAAAGAAAAAAAAAACTAATAAACTTTATTAGATAATAATAACATCAAAAAAAAAAAATAAAGGTATTATTTTCATTCATTTACTTGTTATTATATAATTTCTGATTAATTGGTTATGTGATGTGAAAATTATTTATTATTATACTTTTAAAAAATTTATATTAAATTTATTAGCAAGTAAATTAAATGGAAATAAAGATAACAATGATACCATTGAGAATAAAGATGAAGGATGTAGTAACAATAGAAGTAATATATTTATTATTTATTTATTTATTTATTCATTTATGGTGTGAGCAACATTATTACTTTAAAGGAAAAAAACAACCAATAAACTTTATTAGGTAATAATAATGTCAATAAAAAAAATAATAATAAAGGTATTATTTTCATTCATTTACTTGTTATTATTATAATTTCTGATCAATTGGCTATGTGATGTTTATTATTATATTTTTAAAAAATTTATATCATATATTAATTTATTATTAAATTTATTATAAGTAAAATCAACAGAAATAAAAATAATGCCATTGAGAATGAAGATAAAGAATATAGTAACAATAGTAATAGAAGTAATTTATTTATTATTTATTTATTGATTTATGGCGCAAACAATATTATTACTTTAAAGGAAACAAGAAATTACACATCATTAATTCACATGTTTTTCTTGGTAGATAAAAGTAAAAAAAGAACATTGTTAAAAAAAAGGAAAGAAGCAGCAAAAAGAATTTACAGAAAAATCACAATGTATTGATTATTATTTTTCTTTTTAATATTAAGATGTTTTTTGAGAATTAAATAAAATAATTAATATTATTATTGTATTTGGTAATGATTTCAGTAACTAAAATATGTTTTACCATTAAATAAAATACGTATTATTTCCGTAGCCAAAAAAACGTACTAGTACTAGTACCTTTATCGAAATTTCCGTACAAATTCATCACGAATTCCTTATTGTTATAAGTTCCTTGTATATCACGTGCATATCACGTGCATATTCCGCACATTTCGGCGCATTTGACAGGAAGATTCCGTATTAGTATCTGAAAACACACTTTTCCGAATTTTTTCCGAATCTTTTCCACATCTTTTCTGTGTCTTGGGGAAATTCTTGCTCCTAGTAAAAAAAATGAATGAAGGTATTTTTTTCTTATGCAGAAAATAACTATTTTAAAAATATGTAGTATTTTTACATCATAATTTAATATTTTGCTTTATAATAAAATAATACT